GTAGTGTGGTGCCTTGAATCACTAACATTAAGCTTTTAAAGACTGAGTTGGCGCATGGGCTTGCTAACTCATGTAATCTCCCAGCACTTTATAACTCGGTAGAATCTCAATCAAACTTCAACTTACAGGTAAGTCTCGTTTAATTTTACTTTTAAACTTGATTACAGGATTACAGGAACTTGATTAATCTCTCTAATTGTTTCTTTCCCTTCCCTCCCTTTATTCAAGACTTGGGGGTTCCTCAATTTCTCAAGCCCTTGAGGACTTCTCATTTTCTCCAACCCCAGGGGGCTTCTCATTTGCTCCAACCCCAGGGAGCTCCTCATTTCCTCAAACCCTTGTGGACTCTTCATTTCCTCAAGCCCTTGGGGGCTCCTCATTTTCTTATCAAAGATGCTTTAACAGGTTCACTGTCTTGTTTTTGCTGTGTTGTGGGAGAGGGGTGTTGCATGCGATAATTTATCAAGTTTTCAACATAAGATGAGAAAAACATAATTGAAGCCCCTAAGGAGAGAAAGCTTGAAAAATTAGTTGTGTTGACTGCACTGTGCAGAGATTATCCACATCCTTGTGATTAACTAAGGTGTTATGTAATGTGGGCCTGCAATGTGTTTGAACTAGAATATTTGCCAATTGCAAGCTTTAACCATAAGAGTAACTTTAATGCTAATCAAAACAAAGTGCATATCACAAGGATAAAAAAAATACACCTAAGACCCACTTTAAGCATGGAACTTTTCAAGAGTAGAACCCAATACCATGAATTATACACTGGAAAAGTTCAGCATCAAAATCAACTATGAACGGTTACTTCAAATACGGATGACCCAGCTGGTCTTTTTTCCAGGATAAGCAAAAAATTTCCATCGTGGAACAGCTTTGGAATGGCTTGTTCACTAACTCAGATACTTTCATGTGCCGAACTAAATGCTCTGATGCAATTTTCTGGAAAAGTACAGGGAAGAGCTTTAAAAATGATTAAGTTTAGTATGTGAATCAACAGTTCTATTTTTTGTAATTTGAAAAGCTCAAAATCCAAATTAAGGTAGGTACCTGATAAGTTTGGCATACAAACTAGCCTTACCCAATTCATTTTCTTTTTCTGTGGTTATAACTGTGGGATTTTTCTCTTTTCATGGTTGTGAAAATTGTTATGTTAGGATGTATGCCACAAGAAGAATAAAAGATGCCTTCAGGGAAAACAAAGATATCACAGATCCAGAAAAAATAAAGACATTAATCAAGAGAGCAGAGGATAGTTTACAAGTAATGAAAAGACAGGTGCTTCTCAATCTTTTTTTTTTTATTTCTTTATTTGCCCTAATTCTCCTATCAGACTTGTCATGATTAGAAACAAACAATTCTACAGCAGCAAAAAAAAAATGGAGCAAGACTTGATATTGTTTGCTTTTAATTTTTAACATGTATCATAGGTGAAAACAAAAACTTTGGCCACTTGTGAGTATTGAAACCTGCCTAGATCCAAGTTAGCAGGTTGATCATCTGTTAACTTGAGTCATTGAAATGTCATGGATTGAGGGTGAGCTGGCTCTGTTGTTAAGTCTATATAGGACAAATATCCAGCTTATTGGTTTGATCAGCAGAATGAAAAGTGTTTTGGGTAGAGACAGAGTAACAAAGATGATAGAATAGGGGCAAACTTTGGTTATCTGGACTCATTGGGACTAGACAAAATAGTCCAGATAACCAAGGGTCCAGATAATCAAGGGTTTATATAATCGAGAATATGAAGAGCAATGAGGAACAGAAACTGATTAAGTTAAGAAAGTGACATTTAATCCTGAAACAAAACATTTACAAATCATTTTGAAAAAGCTATGGTCTACGTCTTCACTGTCCTACATAAAGACCTCTGCACGTGTGTATTAACAATTAAAATTAGTGATAAAATGTTTTTACACTGGTCTAAAATGTTGAAGTAAGCCAGTTTATCTTAAAGAAGAACATTGCCTTTACTTGACTTTGATAAGAACATGGCTACGGATCTTGATCATGACCAATAAATATTGGCGAAAAAATTGGGATAATCGAGAAATCCAGACAATCAAGGCAGAGGTTTCATTAAGGGCCTGGGCACCAGGAAAATTGACTGGTTGTGAGGACAGTTTTGCTGACCTGATTTGACAATCTGGATGGAAGTTTATTTTACAAAGAAATTCAATTAAAAAAAATTTTGCCTGCCTATGAAAACCAAGTTGCCCTCCTTCTGACAACGGTAATGAAACCCTAACCTGTGAGCAGAGCCTTTTCTTCTTTTCTTCTTCTTTGCTTCTTTTTAACCCTCCAAGGGAAAAGGCTCAGCCGACATCCTGTTGTTGCTTTGAAATACCAAAAACCCAAAACACCGGGCTATTCAAGCCGGTTTTGCCTCCAGTCAAACTGGTTTTGGTGCACATGCCTTTGTTTTTCATGTACACAGATGACCAAATCTGTGCCCACAAAAGTGCAAGGGGGCCCTGGAAAAGGATCAGTTTCTAGGCAACCGCTGTGCATGTTCAAATGAGCAACAACAGGATGTCAGCAGAGCCTTTTTCTCTTTTCGATTCAAGGACGGGTTAAAAAGGCTCTGCTCACAGGGTAATGAAACTCCTGTTGAGGTCCCGATAATTGAGGTTTAACTGTATGGTTAATATTGAATCTTTTGCAGGTCTCCTTAGGTCAAATGTACAGACATGAAAAGCTCGTGATAGAAAAGAATAGATGATATTCAGCAGTGAAAGAAGAGGTACCATCTAATGGACAAGCAAATATCACCTATTTCACTGGAGATTATGCTATAATTATTGTGCATCAAGTCCTGTAAGAAGGGACAAGATGCATACAGTGAGGATCAGAACACTTCTTTGTGGGAAATAACTTTTTGTTATATTGTGGCCATAGCACAGATAATTTCTCCGCGATGCAACATGCATGTAGCCCAATGTACTGAACAAGTTAAAGACACAAAGCACTGTTTTATTCTTGACTTTATGCCCTTCAACGGATATTGCAGGATCCCTTTTGTGTTTCCTGGAATAAGGAGAAAGTTAACTGCGAATTGTTTAGGGATCTTGTTTTTATCTTCAGGGCCTCTTATTCAACTGGCAGGAATAGCTGACAGCAATGGAAACTTTACTATTAGACTCCTCTTCAGCCATTCTGTAATAGTTAAATGTGCATGATGAATACATGTTATGATGATGATAATATTATAATATCACTTGTCTTGCCCAAGATTTGATGTCTTAACAAAGAAAAGTTTACTCACAGGCATACTTGTTGTCTTTGCATTTGTGAACTATGGAAAGAGTTTATGCTTTTGGCCGAAGGCCTCTCTTCAGTTGACGGGATTGGGTTGTCAGATCATCCTATTTTTGTAAATAGAAAGGTTAATGTTGAGAACTGCATAAACCAGGCTCTGTTCTCTGGGAAAGACCAGGCAATTTTCTCAAACTTGTATGGATTGATGGCATTATGCATTGCAGTAATGAGTGACGAACTGTGCGATAATGGTGAAAATAATCTCCATTCCTTTTGGTGTTGAAAACCGTGAAGGGCACAACTCAAACACCAGAACACACAAGTAGTTGACTTGTGCAACTTAATTCTTTCAATTTGGCGATACCTCGTAAATGGTAAGCACCCTCATAGAAGAATTCTTTTGAAATTGTATTGTGATCATCCGGGTGAGTGTAGTCCTGAGATGGACTGTTGTTGGTGGTGAAGACTGACATTTCGACAACCTGTGCAGAGGTCATCATCAGAGTCAAGACTCAAATATTGCCCCTGGGTTCAAACCATTTACTCTATTAAGTTCAAGAAGAATTCTTGCAATCATGATTTGTAATCAGCCATAGTGTACTACTGTATGTAACCACCTGCCTTGTGTCACATGCATTCCATCTCTTTAAGACAATGATGAATCTGTTAACTCCTCAAATCTGATGACCAATTTTCCTCTATCTCATCACAACAATCAAAAGAGCTGTACTCAGTCTGGCCACCCACATTTAGCAGATTGTGGAAAAAACTTTGAATCAGTGACTTGCCCAGCAGTGTTTTTCCACAACCTTCACACTTTAAGCCTCAAGAGTTACCAACATCTAATTTCTCCTTACAATATCATCCCTGAATCACACAATAAGGTCAGGAGAATAAAGGAAATGATCACTAACTGAAGAAGCTCTTGATTGTTAAACAAATTCTCCTTGTCAGCACCTTAGGAAATATAAGGAGAAAAGTATGGAGAGATTACATATTGATGTTAGCATGTAAAGGTTTGAAGAGTAAACGTCTTATAATTTTACCCACCTCTTTTTTTTTTTTTTACCTACTAGTGTATTTGGACCTTGTGAATGGAAATGAATCAATTATGGAAGGAGAAGGAGAAATTCCATCTTCTTCATTCCGTAGAGCGAGAGGATTAATTAATTATGTGGTACGTAGGCATTGTGATAAGGCGATCGATATAAGTGCTTCTTTTAAAAATGTTGGCGGTCAAAATATCTTGCCCGGTAAGTGTTTTCAGTCCGTATTTAAAGTTTTCTCCTATTTTCTAATCTTATGCGTAAATGAGTGAAAAGAAGACAATAAAAAGTCATAATTTTGTGCGATTGATTGTTATTTTCGGTTCACCTTGAGCTGGTTCTAAATCTCTCGGAACATAATGAGTGTTGCGAATTGTCGTGCGAGTGCTTAAGGCTGTGTCACTGTAAATGCTGAATAACAGGTTAAACAGCTAAACTGTCGGCCCTACATTTCGCGCGTGGGTTCCACCACTTCTTGTTCCTCGTTGAAACACCGTGCTCTTCGCTAAACAAAGATGTATAATGTGGCCCGTAAGGGAATTTTCTACTCTGCTTTGGTTTCAGCAAAGGCAAAACCGGATACAAAACGCAGGTCAATGTTCAGGAATGCCGGAAGACCACCAAAGAACTAACCTAATCGGATTGGAGTACACGTCAACTTTATATCCTCCTTCCTCCGGGATGGGAGTCTCTTCAGAATGGCCGGAAGAATTCAGTACCATTCCCATGTTGTCTCGTTGACATAAGTAGCCTGTGATACTCAGAAAAGCAATTTTAACTATTATAGGTACGTGACATTTAAAATAATCGACAGATCAAAGATCGTACGAGCCCCATCCGATGTAAATCACCGCAAAGAGTGATAGATCGTAGCAAACCGAGTAAATACCTTGGTGGGGAAAAAAAAAAGCCCTTAAAAATTTGCGGCTGCATTGAGTACAATCAGAAGCATTTAACCAAGCTTATATGCTTATACTACAATATACCGCACAAGTGATATAAAAAGCGTGTCTTCAATTCGATTTCTGAGTCGGAAGGGACAGAATGGTAGAAAGCGCGCGTTTTCTGCCGCATGGAGTACAGACCTAAAAACCAGATTTAACTCTTTAAAAACTAACAAAAAAACTTCCACCTCCCCAAATCCTTGGATACTTGAAGAAAGCTCTCGCTATTTCACTGTAAACACGCAAGGAACAGGTTAAATAGCAGTCGACATTTCAATTTCATTTTCATTTTTCTTGCATTTCAGCTACACCCCTCTAAAGTCTTTGCTCAAAAACAGTGAAACGCCGTCAGAGCCTTTTTGACTTCGCTTTAGGATCTCAAAAGACACAGTGGTACAACTCGTGGGTTAGTATTTCGAAAAATATACCGCTAGATGACTAAACTAAGCTTTCAAATAGTTCCGGTACCCTTCCCATCCTCGCCTCACTCCTAACCCCCACTTTCCACCAGCTACCTGTTTGGCTTAACGTGAAAGCGGAAGACCAATGACACAGTTAACAGATTCCAATATTTTGTCTTGAGCTTCGAGTGATGAGCTAACGTGGGGCGACGAACTGTTCCTGTTTCGCTTAATACCTTTGTGTGAAACGTGCACATCTCAAAATATTGTGATTTAGGAAACATCACGAATTTACAGCCGGCATCCTTCAGCAAAAAAGGATGATACAAAACAGCGGGATGGCGTCTTAACTCGCTGTAAACTAGAATGGGGGAAATGCAAAACTTGTAGTGTGAATTCATCGAAAATAAGCTATGACGAAGTTATTTCATGATAGGAATTATAGTTATATGTATATGGTCTGTGCATGAGTTCGGACTCTTGTGCATGATTATTTATCATCGGCAGACTGAGAGTGACGTAAGAATAAATAGTGACCGAAAACGTTGTCTTTCCGAAAGAGAGGAATCCCCTTGGCAAGGCGGTGAGGTTTCTGTAATTTACCTCTGTTGTCTGGTTGTAGACACAGCTAGAAAAAAGATCCAGGGTAAAAAGCAACTTTGATATAGGTACTGTACGTGTTTTTAAAAATAAACACCGGTGTAAGTTCAATATTATTGAAAGGCTTTCAGATGTCAATCGAAAATATAGGATGAACTGGGTTAAAAGGAACAAAACGACTTTAGATAAAAATGAAAGAATTCCGATTTCACGGGAAATCATTCGGTTGAATACCTTCACGTTTTTTCAAAATGGAATATACTGTAAGTTATATTCAAAACAGCGCTGCTTTATATTTTTTTTTTTTTACGTGAGCTTGTCTAACTTAACAACTGACATCAATTACGAATTTGCCATCATGTTCCTGTTTTTTAACATCTTCTCTTAACTGCCGCAGAATAAAAGGAAGACGTTGCAAATGCCAAGGGGGAGTAGTAGAGTTAAATAAAATTACTCTTCAAAAATTTTAAAGACAGCAACGCAGCAAAATGAATTGGCCGACTAAAAAGTTGTAAGGCTCGAATTAATTATGACTCAAGAACACTTGTTCCTCTATGACGCGTTTCTCCTTTGTTGTCGAGTTATGGAATAGTGGTTAAAAGCAATAAGGACATTCTTTTATTATATTGTCATTGATTACATTGAATTAAACAGGAAGACCAAAACTCATAAAACTACTACTCAATTATTTATACTAGTTGGTCTTTGAGTGAAGTGAATTTGATGCAGAACACGCGAAATATATTATTACTATTCGACGAATGATTTTGTTTTACCTCACATTAGAGCGACACGCTATGTCAAAAGAAAAATTATACCAAGAGAAATCTGCCCGCTCGAAAAACAAATTTATGCTTATCAAAAAGACCCAATGTCGTTTTTCACCACCGATCTACGCCAGTTTTCTTGACAAGGGAACTTTCTGGTAGTAAATATGAAACTCTTTTTCGAGTTACGTACATCAGTATATCTGTGCAGCTGATGTTACTACGTGCTAACCGTTCTACCTTAAAATTATTGAAGTTAAAGTTTTAAATCTTGGTTCAGAAGGTAAAAAAATTGAACAAGATAATAACTACTAGCGTTAGCGACAGTTTGTCAGCTTTCAGTTTGTTTACTACGATTTCATTAGCCAGTCTGTTACGACTTCCCTTGTAAGCATCGATCGCCGTAATCAACATCCGCTGTGAGAGAAACATCTGAACCCAGGTTAGAAGAAAGTCGAATTATTAACGAAACCTAGCATGTGTCATGCTTTTGTAAAAGAACACAGGATTTCTATTTTCGCTTTGTGACAAATTGCAGAATTTTCTTTGAATGAAGTAGATTTCTCCTTTCGATAAAATGTCCCTATGACAGTGTAAACGTTCGAAATAATTTACATGTTTTACCCGTACACAGGTTTTGTATTGACGAATTTCTCTTGTTTTGGTAGAAATGTTTGTCGTGGAACTTAGGATACCGCGACTCACGTTGTTTACTTCCGGTAAAAGAAACAAAATGACCGCACTGACCCCGCTTAAGCAAAAAAACAAAATTGCAACCAAGGGCCAAGGTTTATTGTCTGCAATAATTTACATGTAGATTTGCACTCGATCTGCTACTAAGGTACTGAGCTCCAGGAAGTTTGTGCTGAAACTAATATATTCCGCTGGCGCTAAGAAGCTTGAATACACTTCACCGACAGAGTTAAAAAGCGACTCAGAAACGAAAGTGAGAATTTCTCTGAAACGTCAGTCAAACCAGTATGCAGCGTTTCTCGGAAAGGGAGGTTTGACAGTTTTCCTTGAACCGAACTTGTGCGGCCGACCCTGACCGTGAGGGATCGCATGTTTATTATTTAGTCTAGGAAAAAATTATTTCAGAACGTTGCCAGTTCCCAGTTCCTGTGTGATTTCATCGTCTTCCGTACATTTACACCTAAATGAGGATCAGTTGGAGGTCTACAGACTAAACTACTTATATCACTCTTTGCTGTAACTCCGAAATGCAATTTGGAAATCATGTTCTCGTCAAATCTGTTTCTCTTGTTGGTGCTATCACTGACAGTGAATGTTTCAGCTGGAATTTACTTCTTTCTCGCTCCAGCGCTCGCCTTTCCTATTTCAAAGTCAGATAGCGAAATCGCTAAACGGCTGATCAAGTTCTACAAAGAAAAACCAAGACTCATCCGAAAACTGTAAGTACCGCTCAGCAACTTTTTCAAATTTTCCTATACTGTCATTTTTTTTTTCGATAATCCTGGGGAAAAATTTCTCACGAAGGACATTTTTCACGAAGGAGAAGTAAACAGTGTAATTTCATCAAACTATAGCGAGACGCTTCGCCGAACTTCTTTTCCGCGAAAACTGAAGGTCTCTATTTCACGCGTGTCCTCACGCATGAACACACCGCATCACGCGCGCATTGCGTTAAGATTTTAGCACGCTCAGAACAGATTTTTTAGGTCAAGAAAGCGACGAGTATTGACGGTTGTCTTAAAACTCATTTATAGAATATTGAGTATCGAGACATTCTAAACAAGGAAAAGGAATATTCTGTAAGGAAAACTGACTATGAATATTGACCACAAAATGTTAATAAAAATAGATCCAACGATTGATTTGCAGCAGGAAATTAAACGTATGCAGTATTCCCTACGTAAGAAATTTTTTAATAATTCTGAAAGAGTAATTTTGTGTAATATTAACATAATTTTTTCCATGTGATAAGATAAAAAAAATCTACTGTATTAGCGCAATTACTGAATAGTAAGTAGATTTAGAGACCCAACTTCGTCTCTTCTGCCAGCTGGTCTTTAAAACTGTCACTTTCCAGCGATTTTTTCCGCAAACTTGTTTCACTTTCTGCTTGTGGCTTTGTGTGTTTTAATTTCGATAGCTATTTCAGAACATAGCAACCTGCAGTGTGTCCTGCTTGTTTTGAAAAAGTTGTACGAGCAAAACTGTAATTGGCTTTGGCTAATGATCGATTCGACCAAGTGAAGCCCGGCCGACTTTCTGACTTCGATTCGTATAATGTAACTGATATCATGGCAGTTCCTTCATTTAATGCCCAGAAAATCGTGTCAGTAGACGTCTTTCAAACGTTTATCCTTCACATCTTATAATTTCACCAAAAAAATCTTAGAAATGTGACTTCTATAGTTTAGGTTTACCTCTTATGTAATTTCAGAGCGACACGCTGAGGGTCACATTGTCACGAAAGCGGCTTTGAACAATTTACGGGAATAACACGAAATTACGGTTGTAATAATTCAGTCTACTTGTTGTTAGAGTTCGGTTTTCGAAATAGCATATTTATAGCGTAGCACTTTCTAGTAGTCTAAAAATAATACTTCAGTGTTAAAACAAAACAAAGAGCATTGGAACAAAAGAACTGATTGGCCAAATTTCAGCTTGCGTATCGAATCTTTACATTATTATGTAAGTTATAACCGAAAGCGTGTTCATTATCTGTACACGTGGATAGTTACTAATAGGATTTTAGTCTCTACACGTGTTTCATTTTCACATTATTTGGTTTATAAAAGATCGAAGGTGGCTTCATGATCGAGAAGCCGAGAGATTAATGACTTTTCAAGCACAAATTTAAGTCTGTAACCGGCCGTTCGAATTTCCACTGAAAAAATGCGACAAAGCTGCAGTATAGCGTGACAAAAATTTTAGTTTTCTTTTAATTTGCATCGAAAGAAAACTTGATTCTCTAAGCCTATGCCGCGCGTTCAAGCCGAACTCTATGAATTTCAAGAGCATAAATTTTCAACTTTACTGCATTTTTCTCTTCTTGTTAAGTCAAAGAGTAAGAAATGTGACAAAACAAACTGGGGGAGTCGCTTAATTTCCGTCACTAGTATAAGAAAAATATATGCCGCTCAGTAAGGAGAATCACACCTCTGATCTTGCCCTACTTCCGCTTTGAGGATAGCACCACTTGCCCTGGTCTAAGCCACAAAACTATATTTGGTATTCTGTAATCCGCTGAACGAATACAAGGGATACTGAAGGACAATACCGTAAATATTGGCGGTTCTCAAAAGAATGCTGACAGCGACGGATAAGTTCGCGTGTCTCTGTGAGTGGAATAGAGCCCTTTTTTTGCAACCGGTCAACTAACTGTTGGTTCTCGCGCAGATTAACGATTAGCTCAAGGCTTTAAATTATTCTACAGAAATGAGTGATTTATTTTTCGACTTTCATTTACTCTGAGGGCTATGACGTTATCAGTTAATTTACACTAAGCCAAATGTTGACCTCGTTGACTAAGTCTCAAATATTGCTACTACTCCTTGTTTAGTATGACCTCGTCCTCGATGTTTTCACAGATATCACTCAAAGTTCCTGATATCCTCCTAAAAACCGGAAACATAGTAATCTAATTCCTTGTCCATTTGCTTTGTATTTTATTAATCAAACATTTTCTTTTCTCCCTTTTTCCAGCTTCAGGGACCAAATTTTTGCCATCCTGCTCTTTTCCTGCGGGCTGTATTGCTCTTCCTCGAGAGAAATGTACGCCAAGCCTCTTCGAAACACATCATCGACCTTCTTGGTCATCTTCTCCGTGTACCTTGGTAACTACGTGTTCAAGTTTTGTCAGGACTTTTTACTGAGACGCGAGCTCCCGCTATACAAGATCAGCTTGCTGCATCACTTTGTGACTGCAACAACCTACGGTGTGATAATTGCTTACAGGCAGAACTCAATATCTGGCGTAGTGGGGCTTCTTTTCGAGGGAAGCGTCCTTGTTTTCGACTTGAACTCTCTGCTTCGATTTCTGGGCGTTAGCAAAACTGGTTGGCTTGTATTGTGCACATCTGTGCTGCGATTTTTTGTCACTATTTTATTAAGGGCGCTGTGTCCTATCGCCTTACTCGCTATAACTCTTTCGACTCATACTCCTTTGTCCCTGGAATATGTTCCTCTCGGATTTTTCTTTATGAACATCGTGTTCTTTTCCATGATAAATGGATGGCACATCAAGATGTCGTTTGAGGGCTTCAAAAAACGTTTGCTAGCGAGACGCCTGTCGTATTACTACAGCAGACCGAGGGCAGCCAGTGATGGTATGGAGCTGAATAATGTTGCCTCGCTGACTCAGATACTAACGCGCACTGCTTTACCCATCGTTATACCAAGCGACGCAAATTTCAGACTTTCGTCTCCCGTATCAAACGTGAACATGAATAGTGATGAGGTATCTAACATTGCTGTTTCGCGACACGAACGGACATTACCTCAAATTAACGTCATTATCAACGATACGCCAGCGTCGAATGAACCAATAAACCAAGTATAATCGAGAGAATTCGTTAAATTTCCTCGGGGGTGTTATACAAGATAACTCTACAGATTATGTAAAGAGTCATCGGCCATGCTGATTTATTTCGAGTCTGGAGCAAAGAAAAAAATCGAAGCCGGTCTCGAGAAAGATTCAAAACTTGGACCCTCTGTCCACTCATCGAAATTTCTTTGTCATTAAGCCACAGAAAAGTCCCAATTAAGCTACATGGAACTTTTGGCCATGAGCCGCCTTTAATGAACCACACGTGACGTCCTCAGATCTTGCATGTAAATTGCCGCACAACAAGCGCTAACTATGAAAAATACTTAGTTCTGAGAACCGCTCCATGTGAGAAGCTTTCTTATTTTAAAATTGTATATAAGTAAAAAAGTACATGTATCATAAAGTTAAAATGTATTTAGTTTATTTTTTGCGGGCTTTACTGTTGATGCTTGTGGAAAACGGTCAACTAGTAGTTCATCTTCATGAAGGAGTTAATGAAAATAAAAGAAAAGATCATTAATTAAGGCTCTTCTTTTTCAAGTCGGAGTGGAAAAGCTTCAGATAACTGGCCACATTGGATTTCCCCAGGTACAAAACCCTCGCTACGTGATCTCCGTTTCTTTAATTATTAAAAACAAATGAAATTATTTGCCATCCATCTAACACAACTACCTTTGTTCTGACACGTGCTATTAAGCGCGACATAATTTATATTCCTTATTGTGATAACTATCATGCAGATAAAAAGCAAAAAAAAAACAAAAAAGTTCCCCATTATCTTTGTACCACAATGACTAATTAAGATGGGCTAAGGGGCCGACTAGAAACCGGAAAGTCGCCAGAATGTCCATCAAAACTGGAATAAAAAGGATGTAATAACCGCTCGAAACCGAAATGCAATCAGCGAAAATATTGATACAAAGGTAACCGGTTACATTCATTGAAACCTTAAACCAGAGTACCATCAAATCATATCTGACTGCCCACCTGGTTGCTTTGTGAATTTTAATATATCTTAGAAAAGAGAAAGTGAGACAAAAAAGGCTTCATGCATAATTCGTGCTCCTAATCACGAAATTGGCCCTTTCCTCTCCGAGAAACACTATACCAGGAACATGCGATGGTAGCAACCTGATTTTTTCTTTTATTCTATTTATTTACTTTTTTTTTTTTCAGCTTTTCAAGATCATTATTATCTTCCCGTGCAACGATTCATTCGCAGTAGAACGAATTCCTTTTCAGCTGTCGGCAATTTTTCCATTGACAGATGTCACGTTCAACCTCTCTTCAGGTTAAATCCTAGTGAAACACGCGCTTCTGACATATTTTCTCGCTGATACAAAGCGCTGACTCATGGCAGCTCCACAGGAAGAGAGCACGTCGGTCAGCTGCTTGGCAACGTGAGTCAGGGTTTCTGAAACGGAAGCTTTTCTAATGGACAGAAAAAATATATATGTATCATAGTTAAAATCGTTTTGATAAGAAATCAACCTTTAATAAATAAGAAAAAATCCAGATCCAGTTTGACATTTGTTCAGGACAAGGCAAGTGGGTCAGTTTTTGGTTTCCGGTTTAATCAATACCCGGTTTTTCTGCTGTTTCGGTAACTATACTGCGGTTTTCGTTCTTTCTTTATCAAAGAAAATATTTCTCCAGTATCTATGGACAATATCTAAGCGGTTTTCGGTTTTATGCGATTTTTTCTGGACGGAGTTTCGGTTTCAGTGGAAATATTGGCTGGTTTTAAGTTTCGAGTAGGGCCCCAATGCCACTTTCCAGATGCTCAAGAAACATAAATTTATTAAAACTAAGAATGTGTTCATCGTAGGCGTTACGTGATACACTGGCTTCCGGATCATGTCCTCACAAAGTCTCAGATTATAGTCACGTTGTTAAATCTGCCAACATGAGACTCACTTATTCACGGCGCAAAGTGACCTCTCATTGTGTGCCTTGGCGGTGACGCTTGCATTTATAACTCTTCGTTAAGCAATACCAAAGGCATCTGGTAGTATTGTATTCAAACTTAATGGCCTTATCGTTACCGGGCACGTTTCAGAGTATGCGCGCGTGTTAGATAGTAATGAAACAACATAACAAAGAGGGTATCCTCCGTTCCACCCCCACCCCATTTCCTCCCCCACCCTCCCTTCCCTCCCCTCTCCACCTCCGGTCTGTTCAGCACTCATTTCAAAAGCAGGCTTTGTGGTGTCAAAATAACCTCAGCGTAATTTTTTCATTAATATCCAATTACACTTCGTAGAGTACAAATAACGCCCAAGACGAGTACAAATATCACGCGTTATCTGTACTCCAGAAAACCGATTAGACAGGTTTCCTCGCATCGCGCAAGCGACGAATTGGATTGAACTTACAAAAAAAAAAAAAATGGCGGAGAATTTAAATCATGTTTCTGACGACGAAGAATCAGAATGGCTGACGAATGTTGATCGAAGTTTATTAGTTAAATCGAACGAAGAAAAGCAGTCAGACGACAATGAAATTTTATCATTTATTGAAGAAAATAGAAACGGCAACACGACGACGCGCCAATTCCGTTCCACTTCGCATACTTCTGTCACGGGCTACCCGTAAATAAACATCCGCGAAGTTCGCACGCACAGAAATAACAATTTGGCTTTTTGGATAATAAATATCTTATCAGACGTTTTCGTGTGTCGTATCGCTGGGTATTTTTACTCGTTATTTGTATTTTGACACGCCCTACGGGCTCGTAAGAATAAGCGCGCGCGCACTCCGAGAACACGCTAATGTCATCATCATCATCATCATCATCATCCTCATCATCATGACTTTATTATAGTGTCAAAAAAAGCTATAAGCTACTTAGCCGAGGGTAAAAGAAACCCTCTACTAATTGGGGACATTGAAATAAAACCAATTTTAAGTTAAAACAACTAGCCTAGGTAAGTATCCTAGAAGATAAAAATAGATAACTAATAATAATGAATACACTTGATATTTACACTAAGATGATACATTATTTAAATTAACTAGATTATATAACAAATAATAAATGGGTAAATAGATAAATAAAATGTAAAGCAATAGGTCAGTATGTAGGTCAGTTGCTACATAATATGCAGTTCTCACAATCAGGTTTAAGCTTAAGCGAAAGATTGATACCACGAATCTGTCGTTTAAATGATTGCAACGATGGTAAATTTCTAAGATTGCTAAACAGGCCATTCCACAATATTGGTCCTAGATATCTCAATGAATGTTTCCCATATGTTACCGAATGAAATCTGGGTATGTGAAAATCAGCCCCTCTAAAGTTGTAACCAGTGCTATTTAATGAGAACAAGTTCTTAATGCTCTGAGGACACATACCATGCTTCACTTTGTACATCAAGCATGTTATATCTTGAAGCCTCCTTTCATACAGTGTAGTTAATTTAACCTTATTCAGCAGCTTCTCGTCTTTGGATTTACCATCCCTAAAGACTGCGCGCAAACCCCTCTCCTGAATGCGCTCTAGTTTCCTTTTGTCACTCGCTCGACGGAAGTGCCATGTAAGATGACAGTAAGTAAGATAGGGAAGTATTGCGTCTTTGAAAAGTTGCAGTTTCGCAGCCGTGGGCACTACATTTTTTAATCTCATCAATACGCCAATCCTTTGCCTTGCTTTTTTACGCGTGATGTTTATGTGTTCACTAAAATTAGGCTTGTTATTGATGGTCACACCTAATAACTTAAAGCTATCCAGGCGTTCAATATCTGTTCCTTGAACCCTTACGCCAAACTCATCACCTACTTGTTTATTAGTGATTAGTATGATATTTGGAAAGGTTCCTCTTAGTAGATTAGATTCGTACCATACTGAGGCTTTTGTGGCAATCGCCACAAATCTCGTGCGTGGGAAATTAAAGTCTTCTACCCATAACCCTGCAGGAGACGGGAACTCCATTTATTCGTCCCTATCCGAGAAGGCTAGAATATCTAACCATTTCTTGATGTTATAGAAAGGTAGCATATTCTTCTCAATTATTTTAAGACCTTGAGTATTGGTCCGGCCGGGGCTCGAACCCTCGACCTCCCGCACAACAGTCCAGCGCTCTATCCATTGAGCTAACTGGGAGGCGGTCCTTGTCATTTGTTAACGCCTTTCTATTAGACCTGATAGCGTTCTTCCAACTTGTTGTCATATATGGCACATCTTTTGCTCTTACCCTCGTTTTCTTTGTGGGAAGATTCTCATCAATAATATTAGTTAACAGAGTATTCCAGTAGTGGAATTGGTCATCCAAATCATCAAAAATTTCTCCAACATGCCATAGAGCTTCAGAGAGGTCCTTGGAAAACTTTTCACAATCAAAGTTTTTAGAACTTCGAAAGGTTATAACTTTGTTAGGTTGGCGTGGAAGTTTTTCCTTCAGGATTCCATAAATAAGAGCATGATCACTAAGTGAAGGGTGGTAGATCCCACCACATTTAAATTGGTTTGGCTTATTTGTTAACAGTATATCAATGAGGGTAGAGGTTGTTATTGACCCTTTCTGCACCGTGCGTGTAGCTTTATCAATAAGACATGTGAAATCATTTTTCACCTCCAGGTCCAGGAGTAGTTTTCCTTCACCGTTTTATCGGACCTGAGCCGGTCAAGATTAAGATCACCGATTATGGTAACAGAGTCCCTCTGCAAGGAGGCCCAAGTGCAAATTCCGTTTAGTCCATCCTCAAGTTGTAGTCGATAATTACCTGACACCCGGCGGTTTGGCGGGGGGGGGGGGACGATATATGCCAATGATGATCATGTGAGTAGAACCAATTCTTATATCAACTGCGAGAGGTTGACCAATACTCATGGTCTTAAAATAAATGAGGAGAATTTGCTACCTTTCTAAAATCAGGAAATGGATAGATATTCTAGTCTTCTCGGATAAGGACGAATAAACCGTAGGCCCCGTCTCCTGCAGGGTTAGGGGTAGGAGACGTTAATTTCCCACGCAAGAGATTACTGTGTGGTGGATGTCCTCCCCTGGGTGGGATGGGTGGGAATTGGCCCTGAAAAGCCCCTATGGGGAGTGGTCAATTAACCTATGTATGTATGTATGTATGTATGTAAGGTTTCAAAAGTCCCATTGATCCTCAGCCTCCTACATGGTAGTAGCATTGATACATAGACCAGAATGTCACCTCCACACTTCATCCTGTCATTGTGGTATCAGATGTAGCCAGGAATGCGGTGAATTGATTATCAGGTTATATTGAATCAGTTTTTGTTTTGCTGATAAAGATAATGTGAGCCTTTAGTTTCCTGATCACTGCAGCAAGTTCTTCATGTTTGTTTTGAATGCTATTAATATTCAGATGACATAATAAGATATCAGTACGGTTTTTCCTTTTATTCTCCAGTTGCTCATCTTGTAGATCGTAACTGGGTGCCACTTGAGTCGTCGTGACCTCCATCGTTACTCTCGGAGTCAGCGGATGAGTTAAATGTCGAGTTCAATGTAGTATTAGCGAAGGGAAAAACTGATAGTAAACAAGGTGGACAAATCCAGCTAAAGCAATCCATCTGTTGGAATTCTCAGTACTGCTTTGGAGTAACCTTGCCACACTTTATGTGGCACCACGAGTCACACAGGTTACAGCTTAATGCTCGATGGTTGCGAGCAACAGTTTTGAGGTAGACATCGCAATTTTTGGGCCCTGGATTTTCAGTGATGTCGCCGCTAACAATCAGACGGATTAGTTGAAAACTACGATCCGAATCAGAGTAGAAGTGCACTCTTGAAGCAGTATATCCTTTGCCACGAGGGAAGAATCCAAGATGGCGGACATGCTTCCAAAGGCATGCATACTGCTTTTTAGGTGGAATTCTCTTTGTGTGGCCGCCAGAATTCAACCGAGAGTGGAAAGGGCCACTCCGAAAGCTTCCCAATTTATTTTCACTCACTTGCGATGAGCTAAGTGCCAGAAAAATGAGAAAAAGCTGAGAGCAGAGAAGAACTGGACCTCTCGTCATGCTGACCGAGGCGCAATCAATGGACCAGGTAAAGAGGTTCGATGGTCTTAAGCTCTTGAACGAGCCCGGTGACCTATATTTTTTATTTCATAATTTTAGTGTTCAAATTATTCCCTTTGAGTTGAAAAATTAAAAAAATTCCTTGATGGTTTAAAAAGTGAGAGCGAAGCCCGTTAATCGATGATGCAAATTAACATGGACCTTGAAAACAAAGACTCGAGGATCGTTTTGAGTCGAAGTCATTTAAAATTGCTTAATTTTTCCACAAATTAGATATCAAATTGTACTATATGCTCGAGACTTTCTACCTATCAAGTTTTTTTTCCAAGTGTTAGCTTAAAACCTTTGCTTCCATCTACCGCAAAGTGTACCGTCAACCGATGAATTGACGTACATGATAAGTGCCAGCACAGTACATGGGGTAAGATTGGCCCATCATATCTCTTAGACAAGCACGGTGTCCTATCTTTTTTATTGCATTTTCGAAACAGACATTGGTAGGGAATATTTAAGGAAAGTTTAAAAAATTGCTCGATAACTTTTTTTTCTAAGGAATCTATTTAGGAGGGGAAAAGCAAATTATGGTGATTGCAGCTGCTTTTTTCGGTCTCTTGTCATCTTTCCGCTCTTGTGCTAATCAAAATCAGTGAGAATAGTTAACTGTTTATTCTTCGCTTTGGGATGCAATAAGCTTTTAATTTGTTCGTTTCTCAACGGCATTACGTGTCAGGGTCTGTCAGTAGTTGTAAAACTTGTGGGAGGACGTTTTCAGATACCAACTGGTCACAAAATGGTAGCTAATTCTCGTGGTAGAAATCTCAGGAAACCATTTATGGCAACTTATCCAGTTTGAGGCATTTATTGTGACTAAGAATTATTTTTTGTTTTTAAAAGATAAAAAATACGCTGAATCATAATTACCATAAATTCAGGGAGCGATTAAATAGCCAACCGTTCTCCTGTAGCGTTTCGTACCTGTTTTATAATCATTTTCCGTTTGAGGTCATTCATCGCCTTAGTTTGGTTGATCAAAATGAGTCGGAAATTTTTCTTCAAAAAATGTAGCAGTTATTTTTTTCGAGAAAAAACCGTGACATACAAAACTTCTAATGAAAAATCAGACGAGGTACAATTACAGTAACTGAGCTATTTATTATAACAGACCTGAAAAAGGGAAACGAGCACAAAGCTAGGATATACCAAAAGACAAAAGAGTCGTTATCAAAGTAAATGTATAGCAGTCTAAATACGTCTCTGGGTCGCAAAGGAAAGGAAGTGTATATCGTCTAACAAAAATATACCGAGAGAGGAAGAATCACATAAGCTATGAATTTAAGCCTTCTAAATTACGAGGTAGCCCCACCTAGCTGCAAAAGGCTCATTCTCCCAGGTGGGGAGCTGCCCCCTCCTGCCACTGAAGTTAAGGATGTTCTTCTTTTCCTCATCATCTTCAACATCTTTTCACTCCCTTTCACGGCTGTTTTAAACGGTTTGGTAGTGGTGGCTGTGCGAACGAAATCTCGGTTGAGAACCAAGAAGTCTAATATTCTGCTTGCATGTACAGCTGTGTCTGATTTGGCTGTGGGTGTGATGATTATCCAACCAATGATGTTCATTGCTTTAACGATATCAGTGTTTGTCGGAAAGAGAACGATAGGATCATGTGCATTACAACCTGTCACAATATTGCTCACGAATTTCTTATGCGATACGTCTCTTATCCACTTAGTCCTTATAGGCTGGGAACGATATCTGGCCATAAAGCACGCACACGCGTATAATACCAGACTCGTCACGGAAGCCCGTTTGCTGATTGCATCCATCTGCTTTAGCATGGATATTTTCTCTTATCATGCACATTCCCCTTTTCTTTCACCCAGTAGTAGCTTTTTGAATTAAAAACACATTTATCGTCCTTTCGCTGGTAATTACCATTTTTTGCCATTCCATTCCATTGTTCATCACGAGGTTCGACGACACCTAAACTTGTCAACTTTCTGTCCTTGGGTTAATATCACAGGATAATTGTCGATTTGATTGTCATGTGCATGTAAAGTTGATTAAGGCGAATGAGTGCTTGTTTATATTAAGATCCTTAGGTAAGGAAGGTTATCCTCAGGTGGAGTTAGATCACTTATTTTCAAGTATTGTGCTTCCTAGCATCACTTATGGGTTGTCGGTATATGGTGCTTCTGAGGCAGAGCTGACAGCAATGCAGTGTTTTCTGGATAGATGTCACAAACGTTAATATACATCTAAATCATTTTCTATTAAACACCTTCTGGAAAAGCAGGGTAGAAAAGTATTTCGTAAGGTATCTGGCATAGACCGACTCTGTCTAAGGGGACTATTGCCCGAGAAGAAAGTATCGACTTACAATTTAAGGAATCGAACAAGTCAGTATTCGAAAGTTAATACAGGTAGATTCAAGAACTCTTTCATTAATCGCTTAATTTTTAAATACAATTTAGCTATGTGAGTTTATAATTTAGATATATTTACTTTTTACTCAAATATTGTAACATAAGATATGTATTTTTTATCTTGTGAGGAAATAAAGACTACTACTAAACGAAATTTCACAACGACAAGTCACAGCAGGGGCAAGGCACAAAATTCTACTAAACAATAAATCTCTCCAACTGACAGCTACCATCGCTCTAGTCCTTCTTCTTTGCTATGCACCTATATTTGTTTATAGATTTTTTTTGGTGCGCCATCCCAATAACACGTCTCCGGTGGTCCCATACGCTGGTATTTTAATTTCTTTGTCGTTTGCAACACTAAACTCATTGTTAAACCAGATTATTTACGTAGCCAGGTTAAGGGAGTTTAAAATTGCCTTCATTGAGTTGTTAAGTAGAACTGCAACCTTGGCCGAGGCAGAAGAACGCGAGAGGCGAATATTTGGACCGCGTGGGAAGGTTGTGATAAGGTTTAACCCGTGACATTAGAAAGAAAAAATCCGCAGATTAAAAGAGCTCTGAGCGATAGGGATATCACATTCAACAAATGACCTAAAACTGGTGTAACACACCTATAAAAGAGTCTTAGAGTGATAGACACGCTTAACTGAAGGGTTCTTATAGTTAATTACTCACAGTCCTTGCCTCGCTTGCGCTCTGGAAGAGGATCTGAGAATACTAAGTCTGTGAACAAGCTGGCTTAAAGAGCAATTTTCAACTGAGTGTCGAAAGTAATCCGGGTTTGCATTGGTTTTGTTTCATTTCGCTCTGTGATTGTCCAGAAAACTTGCGCCACTCTCTCAACCAAGCAGATGCAAAGACTAACACCAATCACGACTTGGCCCGCCGCGTTTTCCTGCGGTTTAGCTGTTTGCTTGACTTTCCTTCGAGTTCTCATTGGCTCTTCAGAGTATTTTCCTTACTTTAGATTAGTCGTAGTATTTACTTTGGTTTTGGTTTTGGTTTTGGTTTTGGTTTTACTACGACATTCTATCGAGAAGCGCTCAGAAAACCGGATTAGGAGGGAGGTGGTGCTCGATGGGTTTTAATAACAACGCCTAAGTATACTCCCTGACAGTTCATCTTTAGCAAGGCTTAATTTTTCACCATAGTTGACCATTAGTGGACCTCTTTCATCAAAGGTCTACCATGGTCTTAGAAAATTAAGTCAAGGATTCCAAATTGACAGAAGTATATGATGAAGAATAAAACTTCATGCCAATGAGTTCGCTTCATTTTTAATGAAGAACTGCAACAGAAAGGTACATTAGTGCTACACTGAGGCACTAGGGGGGGGGGTGAGAACGGGTGGTGACACTTGTCTTCAGCCCACCCCTCTCGTGGTCCTATTGTGCACTGTTTTTCAAGTTCCCAGGGATGCTGGTTTCCTTCTCACGTCATTTAGAAGTACTTTAGTTGATCGTTCGAACTACACTGGCACTCATACACTACATCATTCCTGCTCTTTTCATTTTCTTTTCCATTTTCTTCTGTTTCTTTGGATCCATTTCTGTTTCCACAGGTTGAGCAAAGAACCAAGGTCCTAGAATATAAACCCATAACAAGTACATAGCTCTGCATGGAACCTGAAATAAAACCCAGTGAACGGTTTAGTAGGCTTAAGTTCTAATTTTAGCCAGGTGGCCATTACATGAAGGTTGTCCAATCATTTTGTAAGGTTTCCCCAGCAGTTAGCCATTACATTTGTAACCCCCGGTGGAGAGAGGCAGTGAGAGAGTACAGTTTCTTGCCCAAGGTCACAACTTCATGGCTCAACCAGGGCTGAAATCCAAACCTCTCCATCCAGAGTAGAAGGTTTGTAGGTAAGGTCTGTCCTCAAGCCAAAAACCCCACCCGGCTGGGAGTTATCCCAGTTCCTTAACATGAAGCCACTAGAAGTATTACTACTCCCTCCTTCTCCCTCCCCCCCCTAGAGGTGCAGTGACCTCATTGTAAGTGTGCTCAACTCCAGATCAAAGTGGTTTAGGTTCGAGTCCTGGCCAGGGACATTGTGTTGTGTTCTTGAGCAAGACACTTTACTCTTACAGTGCCTCTCTTTACCCAGGAGAATAAAATGGGTTCCAGCAAATTTAATGCTGGGGTAATCCTGCAATGGACTAGCATTCCATCCAGGGGGGGTGTAGAAATTTTTCTAGTCACTTCATGGTACGGAAACTGGAGTTAAGTGCGGGCCCAGTGGGCCACCTAGCTCATAGGCAGGTTTTACCTTCCTCTTCCCCCCTCCCCCTAGATGGGCTGCCAATTCATTGCAAGGTTACCCCCCTGCATTACATCAGGCTCCCCTAACAATTTGCTGGTACCCATTATCCTCCTGGGTGAGGAAAGGCACTGTGAAAGTAAAGTGTTTTGCCTACAAATGCAACACAATGATCTGTCCAGGTCTCCAACCTGGATCCCTTGACCTGGAGTCTAGTGCACTAACCACTGGGAAGACACCTCTCCTACCTCCATCCCAGAGCAAAGCACACAAACCTCTGAGCCAATGCATGTCCCACAAAGTAGCCACAATCAGACCCAAAGAATAATCATAGTTATTATCCAACTGTGCTTCATGGAGTACAAATAACGCGCGAGAAGAGTACAAATATCACCCAATATTTGTACTCCAGAAATATCAGTGAAATTTGCCCATGCTCAAATAACAATTGGCTTGTTGGATAATAAATCTCTTGTTAGACATTTTGTTGTGTAGTATCGCCGAGTATTTTAACTCATTTTTTTGCATTCTGACTCACCCTACAGGCTCGTCAAAATACAGCACAACTCCTAATACTCATCGATACTACACAAAATGTCTAATAAGACATATTAATTCGTTTCATGAATGCTGCTATGAAAAGTCTCAAAAGTTGACAAAAAAAAAAAAAAAAATAGAAATACCCTTACCAGCAGCCAAAACAGCCACATATAGTCTGTAAATATTCCAAGTCCCTGAACTATCACTGTTAATATTATGAGGTCCTTAACATGCCTAAGGTCAAAAAATTTCAAAAGAACATCAGTTAGATTTTACTGTGTACTGAGATGGCTCTGTTATATTCTTTATTACTTTAACCAGTTCTCAAGAGTAATTGGTAGAATTTGAACTCAAACTCTCTATAATTAGCAGATTATTGATGGAACGCAAAGTGAGAGTCCTCTTTTAATGTAACAAATATTCCATCACAAATAATAACTCATTTTAGTTGATTTTTACCTGCATGTCTTTATTGCAGAAGGTTTTGCTTATTATCCTCACCGCCCATAAGTTGTTGAATTGTACATACATTTTCATTGGTTCTCATAATTTTATTTAATTTTTGTTGTTTTTGTATTTCCATAACGGGATATGTAGACTATGTAGATAACAACATCATTAAATAGCAACTTTCTTGTCTCTTACATCAACAATACAAATACATTCTAGTTGCTGTCCACAATTCAGAAACATATCAAAGATGACATTGAAATAAACATTATAAGAACAAAACCTTGCATTCTTAACACATTCAAATGCCTTAAGGCTTTGATCTTCATGAATCACTATTAACTTATGGTGGATGGTTAAATTTTGTCATCCTTCGTGAAACCAGAGAATGCCTGAGCTGTAGCCAGTACATAGTGAGGCAAGGCGTGGGCTTTAGTGAAAGGCTTCATATTCCAGGTTTTAGACAGCTATCAATTAGCAAATATAAGCAAACAGAATCGTTTTAAGCTCCATTCACAAAGCAAGCCATATGGAAAAAGTGAAATTCTAAAGAGGTTCCCCTGATATTCCCACTGCTAAAGCTTTAGTCTACCTATGGTTAGGTAGGTGGGTGAACCCAGTAGAGAATTACGTGTCCTATCGTTCTCTCCCCTGTACACTGTACAAATCTATAAATAAATAAATAAATAAATATGGTTCTGTATGCCCGCCTTTTACACTCAACACCAGCATCTATATTTTTCCATACTCCCCTTGATACATTTCCTTTAGTACTAACAGGGAAAATTAGTTTCACAAACAAAGTTTCAGAGGTTAATAATCATTTGCTTTATTCAAGATCTTTGCAAATGATTCAGCAATATTACAATTGAGTGAAATTAGATTTTGGTCACCTTTAGGGTTTAAAGTGCTACCAAGAATGCATTAGAAAGTGATCATCTATCTTTTGAACAACTTGGGTGTATACTAAGAGAAATTATCTGACAGTACGTACTCTGCAGTTCCTGACTCCTGATTAAGATCCATTCCCCCATCTATAAGAGCTCCAGATGAGGAATATGTGGGTTTTGCCATTGAAGCCATGAACTTATAACATCCACTGTAAAGTGCTGTGGCAAGCACCAGAAGAACCTTCGTGTAAAAAGCCAAAAAAGCAGAACTTCAGAAATTTATAACTATAGCCAGTGAGAATGTTTCCAGTTTCTGCTGCATGAAGAGACTAAGAGTGGCTCTGTACTACCCCCTCCCCCCCCTTTAAATGTAATGCTTGTCTCTAGAGGGTGCCCTTTATCTTACCTGTCTAGTTTCCCTTGCAGATACCCATTAACCCTAAACACCCTTACATCAGTATCCATGTTGTCTATACTTTTCTATATACTTTTCTTTTGATACTGACAATGAGAATTCATATAAGGATCAAAACTTCTTAGGTCGGTGATCATTTGCTTCATTCTCATGATCTTAATGTTTCAGCAATATAACTGTGGAGAAATTAGATGCTGGTCACTTTAAAAAACCCTTTGACCCTGAGAAGTGATTAACCTGTAACTTCTCCATATGATATCCATACAGGATCCAGCAAACAGGTAATGAGAATACTTAAACTTGTCAGGTAGAAGTTTTTCCCTTGATTGAACACCAAATTCTCCTAACCAATTTTCAAGGAAATGTGTAGCAGCTATAGGGGAGAATTAACAAATGAATCAGAAAGGGTTAAGATTTAAAGAGTTCATTGCCATGGAGAAGGGCACTTTCACAATGACCTGGCGATGCCAACTAGTTCAAAAGTAAGCAGAAAAAAAAAATTGGGGTTTTGGTTTAGTTAAAGTCGTAATACCACCAGCAAACAAAGAACAGAAATATTTCATATCATTATGAACAATGATTGTATTGGGAGTAAGAACTTACCCATGAAAACCAACTGGAGTTGAAACCAAAAAATGTGAATCGGAATATTATGTATGTTACCTGAAATAAAGAATGGGAATTCAATGAAGAATTCACAAGAATTTCTTCATTTCTTTACATAAGAAGGTCATTGAAAGTTGTGGAAACTCGCGGAATTTTACAATTCTAAAAGAGTATGCCCTCCATAGTAGTCACAAGAGTGAAGAAAATATGCTCGAATTCAGAAATATTTAAACCCTTACCTCAATACTTATCATAACTTTGGCATAAAAATCCAGAGTTTTGGTGTTTTCTTCCAGGATTTGTTTTTGTCCCTTAGTTCCTTGTTTCTTTGGCTGAAGTGCAAGTTACATGAAAAAATAACTAATAGCAAAAAGCAACATGAAACAATTGTGAAGTAACGACATAGATTTTAAGACTTTCTTATGGCGTGACACCATTCCTTCAGACAGTTAGTTCCTTCCTTAACCAAATGCTTTTAGTGAGGCGAGGGGGTGATAAATACATTTGTAAGTCGTCTTCGGGTATTTATATATCACGAATTCATCTTGTCCCGTGAGAAAAGTTTTGAGGTATCAAGTGTTTCATCTACAACCTGCCTTTCCCAAGATATAGCTAGATCTTCGATGTACGAGTTTCTCCCAATACTAACTGAATGATAAACATAGATTAAACCACAGATGTGTGGGATCATAATAAAACTTTAGATAAAACAGCTCTAAATTATCAGCCCGTAGAGTAGCATATGTAGCCAGAGGTTAATGATGTCGTTCTAACTTAGAGCTATGTGGCAACACGCGATAATTAAAATATTTTTAAATAAAAGCAGATCTGATAATCTTTCAAAATAAAAAAATCCAGCTCCTGATTTTTCTTAGTCAGAGAAAGGATGAACAAGAAACTGCTCGGTAATCGATATGAAACGGTACCGAACTTACCGCCATCTTGCCCTAATTCGGCTAGTTCCAGTCCTTCAGCAGATTTGACGCATTATGTTTTTTTCTACCAAAACTCTTCAGATTGTTTTCTTTACAAGAAAATTTGGTCAAGAAGTTATATACATGAACTTGGGAAATACAACCGGGGGTTACCTGACCACAAATTCTCATTACTCATAACTCTTGCTAGTAAGACTTGGCAGTCGCCTCTTTGAAATGAAGGGGTTGTAAAAAAAGCTGTAACTGGAGGTGTTTAAAACCAGATGAAAACAAAGGAACAGATAGGTGACAATTGTTTCATGGGAGGGGAACTGAAAAACAAACCCCAGTGGAGAGAGGGAATATTTGTCTAAAAACTCTACCTTGCCTTTGCTTGAAATGCAGATTCCCCTGTCTTTTAAGGTTTCCAAACCCTTATACAATAACAATAAATCAACGTAACAGATGGAAGAGTGTGGACAGATTGATGCATTTTTATTTCAGCTCTAAATCTTTGATCTCAAATAATGTTTTATTTAAACCTACACCTATTGCATACTGAATCAAACTTTAAAAAATGAGTAAGGATATTATTAATTGAAAATTATTTTCTTTTTTACATTTCTTTGTGCCTACATATGTAAACAGGGAAAGACAAATATTGAAATTCCCTATTTTGGGTGATAAAAATTTACAGTTAAAATACACAAGTCATCAAACTTTAGTAACCACACACACTAAAAAATAAATGAAGATTTCAGCTAGATTCACCAGTGCTAACCTGCACTTAGAACCAAAGCTAACAAAGATGACCATGAACTGATAGGGAATTCATTTCCCTTGGAAAATTTTTTTTAAGTGACCACATCAACAATATTATCAAATAAGGGCCAGAAAACTGTGACAGCGTCTCCAGAAAAGAGCTGTGCATAAACCACCCTAACAATAAACAACATTAGACATTGAAAATCGAGGAAGGTAATATTTTGATATTAAAGCAGAGTCCTGGCCATTGAGCCACATAATAGAAACAGCAAGGGAAGAATGGATTTCTCACAAGATATTGGTAGATCTATTCCATGTAGATCTATTCCAAGAACTTTTTTTAATCTAATCTGTAATAAAATTAAACCCACAGAATGACAAGAAGCACTTTGTTTTTCAATGAGCACTTAATCTTTAGAAAGATCCGAAGCATTCTTTCAACGATATAAAATGGTGGACAAATGATGGACCCAGCCAAATGTAGTCATAATATAATCCTAAAACCTACCACACTTCTATCCCTACATCTTTCTTGAGCACTCTTCAACTGAGTGTCAAAGCAACAAACCAAGGTCATTGCAATTCAGAAAAAATGAACATAAATCAACAGCCAATAAGAACTCAAAATAAAAACACCCAAACTGCCAAAAGAGCAAGAAAATCCAGGTGACCGAGTCATGATTAGTTTTAGTTTAGCATTTTCTTGGTTGAAAGGGTGGTTTGAGTTTTCTAGTCCACTTGCTGATAGGAAAAAATCAAATGTAAAATGTAATCTTGGATTTACTTTGAACACTTGATTGAAATTTGCTCTACATGAGAAGCCACAACCATCATGTCAGCTCTGCCAAGCTGAAGAGGCCCAGCAAAGTAGAAACACCCATCCATGCATGCTAACTAAGTAATTTACTTTTTTCTCGTGGTGTAGACCCACTATCACCACCACTGTCACCTATGTGTGCCTTATGTTGCTTAAACACGAAGGTGCACTATATAAGGAAGTCTTCCCTGGGAAGACCAAGGCTCATTTGTCACTCATTGTTGACGTGTGCAGGTCAAATTCAAATTCTGGTAGACGAACAAAAGGAGCTAATGAGATATCTATTGTTTACTTCCACCAGCATGGTGGCATGAGGTAACGTGCGAACCACCTACTTTGATCTCAAATTTACCGCCACAAATAAAGACAGTTTCCATTGGAGAAAGGAAATACAAATCTCAAAAATTCTTGTATTGTGATGAAGACATAAAACAATTTTGAGGAATGCACCCGCTGTTAACTGCTTTGGAGTAGCTGTAGCTCAAGCTGACTTGACACTAAGAGTTCTACATCAAGCGAAGGTTGATTGACAAATGGTCCAGTAGAACATAAGGCTCCTTTTATAGCGTGCCTTCGTGTTTAACTTAACAATCACCATAATACCATTTTCAAAATATAACAGCCTTGTGCCTCATATTTATCATAAGAAATACTTTGGAAAAACACTAATCAATAATTAAACTATTGGCTTGAGATTTATATTCCATGATAGTCACTGATAAGGGCAAAGCTCTCATCAAAGATGACTCAAGAATCGAGATGAAATTATCCATTTTTAATTGGTGACCTGTATTGACTTCATTTTGCTTACGACCACACATTGTTGATAACTTTACTCACTATGTATAGATGGTGAGTAGCATAGCCAATCAGGTTGCAGCATTTGTGATAAGCTGCTGGCAGATTTACACTAACTCACCTTGTCTCTGTTAATTTTTTTTTTGTGCGTTCATGGCAAAGCAAGAAACATCAAGCCCTAACAGCTAGTAATGCTTCTTCCTACATAGAAGCTGTCTCTTTACAGCCACTAATTATTATCCATCATTACTATGTCCTTGTAGCCATGGACTTGGACACTACCCTAATCTGAGATCACAGTAGGTACAGCAGGGCTTGACATTAATGGCAGCCAACTAGCCACAGGCAAGTAGAAATTCAGTTTTGGCTAGTGGTTTTCAATTTCCACAGCCAGTTTTTGGCTAGTAAACAAACTGAAATTGTTGTAACATCTAAGTTGTCACTAGCCACTTGACTGGTAAGTTGAAAAGTTAGTGTCGAGCCCTGTACAAGCCTTTGATTTAAAGTCTAAAACTGGTCTGAAGGTAAAATTGCATAAGATGCATATGTACAAGCTCTATTAAATTTACATGATTGTTTAAAATATCAGTTCTCCTGGTTCTCTATGAGTCCTCCTGTGTCCTCATCATTTACATATGGAGGAGGAGGTTCATCCAGTTTCACAGGATCCTCAACTGAATAAACGGGAGGATTTTGAAAAGTGGCTGGTACACCATTGACACCAAATGGGTATTCAGTAAAAACATAAGCTGGCTGCGGAACAGCAGGCTCCTCTTCATACTGGCGGCCCTGAGGAATCTGACACCAATGAAACAATGAAAAAGGAAAAAGATTAAATGATGAAATTTTCAATACTCATTGAATGTTGTCCTTTAGTAGCAATTTAGAAAATAAAACCGACAAAAGTTCAAATGAGGCCTTAAACTACCATAAAATCAAAGTTAAATATAAAATCCAAGCTTTCCCCAATCCACGACATGATCAGGGGCCTCCTGATGATACCCTGGATCGGCAAAAGGTTTTTTAGAACTCATTTGAACTATTTCCAGTTCTATATTACAGTTTCAATGTAATGGTTTCAGGGTAGTCTTCCATAAAATGTTTACAATTATTGATACCACACAGACAGACATACAGTGGAGACAAAGAAAGACCCACTAGAGGGTTATAAAGAAGTGATATCCAAGACCATATAGGCCGAGTCACAGAGATCATTGCTCATAAAATTACTTTGGACCAAATACTTCAGCCTCTGGGAATAATACAGTTCCAAAAACTGACCTGTTGTTGACTATGTTGCCTTAATGCTTGTGCAATAAGTCGTCTTCGATTTCTTGCATAGAAGTAAAATATCCAGAAAATAAGCTTTAAGATGACCACAACTATAATTATCCTGGAAAAAATACATTTTAAAGTTAGTAAATGTCATTACAATAACTCTTCTATTACCTAACAAAGCCAATCTTTCATAGTATGGTTCCAGAAAATATCCATATCCCCCCCACTGAGAGTTTTTCCAGTTTGATCCCCAATCCCCTGGAATTTCCATGATTTTTTCCACTTGGTTCCCCATACCCCTTGGAAATTCCAAATCCAAAAAGCTCTTTATGTAACCCCTTACCCTTCGGAAATTTGCCTCTTTTACACCCCTCTACCCCTTGGAATTTCGGTGACCGTCTGTGGGGGGTATAGATATTTTCTGGTACCATACATATGAGTTTACATGGTTACCAACTGAAAGTACATGATTAAGGTGGCTAGTATTAGTTTCCTCACGCAGGGAACAGGTCACTCTTGTGTCACAGGCAAGAGAAACGTGCGAAAGAAGCACAAGATGAAAACACGAAAATTCAAAACAAAGATGGCGGCACGAGGCTTTTTTCTACTTTTGTAAGAAGTTTACCAAACAGCATGTATTTGATGTGTTGAACAACCACTGCGTGTGCAGGAGACAGAAACGAAGATAAAGAAGACAATTTGCGGAGACCTAAAGGTTGCTTCACATCTAAACAAAATATCCAACCGATATGAAATCTTGCAACAGCAAAAAAAGGAGTACTCAAGTGAAGGATAATCTGCCTGAAGTGGAAGAAGACTGAAACTTCAAGGAAAATAATATAGCCAGAAGTTATGAGTAGTTCCTTTAAGATGAGCTCAGGAGGCTGTCTTTGTCAGCTGTTGAATGATTTTCTAAGCAGCAAATGTCTGTAATCATCAGATCGTAGGTGCTCGTGCGAACACACGCAATAGTCAGGGGTAGCTATAACAGATCATGAGCAAATGTCGATCTTATAGAATCCAGATTTTTAAATGCGTGAGAATGCGCATGGGAAATCCCTGGTGAAAACCCCACAGGATCTTTAAGGATCTTTGAGAATTGTCAAAGACCTGTCAAGGATCCTTAAAGACGAGGATCTTCAAAGGATCCTAGAAGGATCTTTGAAGGATCTTCAAAGATCTTTATATGCAAAATCATTTGATAAAATCCTCAAGGATCTTATGAAGATCCTCTGAGGAACCTACAAAGATCCTTGTAAAGATCCTAGCAAACTTCTAGCTGAAGCTGTCACTTGTTTAATTTGTCTCTGTGTTGTAAGATTATCAAAAAATAATCACTGATCTAGCAAGTAATCCACATAAAAACACTGTCCTATGTGGTTCTTCATTCTTCAGATCATTTGTTTGGTCAACCATCTTGACAGTGATTTAATTTTACATCTATGAAAATATGCATATATAAGCTTGACATGATTAAATCCAGCCATTTATTGCAATTTTCAAATGTGTTTTTGTCTGGGCAATAGACAAAAGAAACCATCACCAACAAGAGATGAGGTTCAACAGACATTTTTTGAAGGTAAAAATCTCACAAGGATGGTACCATCATTTAACAGTACATATTTGAACAGTAATTTAAGACAAGATTATGTAGCAAATAGTAATGATTTTACAAAAATGAGAGCAAAACCCCATCAAATTAACCATATCTTTGGTTAAACCGATTTACACAGAACATTATGCTCGAGTCATAAAGTTGTCGCCTACTCAAGGATGATATTATGTTAAAAAGACATTACAGTCTTAGTTTAAGGATAATGCTCAAATTATTTTAGAAGCATAATATCTTACAATCTTGACATAACTAACACCTCATTTTCTGCGATTCAGAACTGAAAAATCTACGGCAAAGATTTGATCCTCGCGCGAAAGTAAATGCTTACGTAATTTACCCCTAGTAGAGTAAACACTACTTAGACTGTACTTACACATAAAACAGCAAATCCATCATAAGTCAAGGCCTTTAGTCACCAGATTTAATGCAAATTCTAGATGAATGAAAATTGACACGGCTTAACACAAAATCAAGTGTTTTGACAGTGGGTGAAATTGAAATACTACTGACTCACACTACAACTCGATGGCGCATGGGTCCTGACAGCGAAAATGATACCTTTGATCACCGTTATTTCATTTCACGAAAGGACTTCTTACTGAATTCTGAAGGAGTCTGTAATTTCTTAGGTCCCTTCACTTAACATGATAGACTTCAGCTCAGAGCTGGTTCGCCATGATGTTGCACAAAATAATATGCTTACTTCGATCGTCAAGTTTTCAGAAATGACGAACGAACAAAGCAATAATAATGATAAGAAACGAAACCTTAGAGAAATGGGACAGCGTATATGGCAACAATTTCCAAATAAAGGACTTTGAAATGTAAGCTTGGACAAAACTGAGACACAGTTTATTGCGTACATAACAATATGCAATCATGCATTAAGGACAAGTATCCCTTTTCTTGGCGGATTGTGTCAGGAGAAACCATTATTTTGGGCGCCAGTATAAAGGGAAAAAACCTAACACACCTCTACATACCTCAAGGAACGTGAAACTCATCCATTATAAAATGAAATGAAGACAAAAATTCGTGGAATTCACAAACACCTGTGTACCGTCACTTCACCCACAGAAGGAACTCGCCACAGTCCTACGCGGTAATAGCTTGAGAACTTTAAAGGAGGCTGGGACGAGAAAGTATCCGCCCTGAGGGAATGCTGTTAACTTTAGGGAACGAATAGCCGATAATAAAAATATGAATACAATAAAATAATAATAATGGAAAAGTAAAAACCGTAAATATTTGGCAAATAGCAGGTTATGATTATAATTAGGAACTCTATGATAGAACCCTGAACCACCCGAAAAGATCTTTGAACTATTTACATTTATTGTTTCTTTTAGACTTCACATATTTATCGTAGATTATTAGCACTACAAATTGGTTATTCTATATCTCTCAGCGTTAGCCTAGCTATTTGGGAGTACAAGTTCCAAGTTCCAAGTTCCAAGCTTCAATATCTGAACTGGTGATAGGAGAGGTGAGAGGGGCCTAGGGAGGGGTGGGTAGCTTACCACTAATTTCTAAGTTTTTCAGTGGAGGAGATGGGAAGTAAGGCATCACGAGCCTATTTTCCAGGCTGATCTTTTTAAAATAAGTTCAATTCACATACTTTGAACAACACCTGAATTACTTATTTCTACATCCAAAACATCTCCCTTGAATTCCCTCACTGTGCAAACATTACTCTTTGACAAGTCACACAAATACACACACTCAAACAAAAGCAGTTTCAAACGGGGAAGGAAAGTATGAGGGACTATAAGAGAGGTGTCAGTCCTGCTCGTTTTCCTTTTACTTTTACAAATTCTTGCAAACTGCAGGACAAAGACCCACTTTGAGTTGAAAACAATTTTAAGAACTAATACTATTGCAACAACTGAACTAAAATAATTTTTTTTTAATCAATCAAAGTTAGAATATTAACAGTAGTAAATAACTAGAAAATCAATGGCTAACTCATACTAACATGCACAGAGTAATGAGACAAATGCAAGGTTTGAAATGGTCCTTTACAGCTAAAAAACAGACCAAGGGAGGCCCTCAGATACCCCTTAAAAAAGAGAAAATACCAAATTCCTCACTTAACCTCTCCCTCTTACTTTGAAGCACCTATGTGACTCCACTACTAGCTAATAAATACATTGCTACTTTCCAAGCACAACCCAAAACCAAGTTGACCACCAAGCATTTCTGGCATAAATGGACCTCAATAAATGAATACCAGTTTTCCCTTCATACTCATCTGAAGTTTAAAACATGATCATACTTCCATCAACTGCCTATCAAAACTTCCCAAAAGGAAAAGCAAGGAAATTTCTAGGATGGCTGAGTTCCACTTCCATCCACTTTCAATTGCAACTTTCACATTGCCTCCCTCCCCC